ACTTTATGAGAGAGGATAAAAAGAAGTTTGCTTTATAAGATACTGAATTTTATTTGATAAAAATCAAGATTATACTTCATCTCTCACAGTGCATTAATTCAGCTTTTAAACATTAAAGATACAAGTTTTAAATGGTCTTATTTACTATTAAACATTTCTTCTGTTACTTCAAAAAGTTTTCTTTGCTCTAGTTTCTTGCATTACAGAAATCTGGTTGGTGTCTTCACTATAGTAAAGACTGTGGGAATCATAATGCTTGCGAGCACACTGATCAGTGTGAGTGGTGACAGTCAGAGTTTGATCTATGGGATATTCTTTTTTCTTCAGATGCTCCTAAAGACACCTCAGCATCCATCAGTCCATCAGCTTTGGTGTCAGCAGGCAGCTGGGTGAAGTTGACCTGCTCCAGCAGAGCCAAACCTCCAGTCAGCAACTTCACCTGGTTCAAGAAGAGCAGAGATGGAGCTGTGAAAGTATCTGAAGGAGAGATTTACAGCTTCAGTGTAACAGATGGAGGAGTTTATTACTGTGTGGCCACTAATGATCTGGGTAATCAGACATCAGGAGAGATTAATGTGACTGTTGGAGGTAAAGATAAAGGCTGAAGCCACTAATGCCATGCTTTTCTCCCATTTATCTTTTAGGTTTTCCTTGTTGATCTATTAATAACATTGTTACACTGAAACTTGATGATAATGTAACCAAAACAACTTTAACAAGGGTATCTTTAACTCCACATTATTATATATTGTTCGACTCACACAGTTTATTTTTCAAGTACCAGGAAAGCAGAACAATCACTCCACGCTGGTCCTACTTCTTGGAGGAATCTCTGGGATCATCTTACTCATTTGTTTGATAATCTTTCTTTGGCAAGTATCAGACATCACATTAGAAGACGCGATATTTAACTGTGATATTTTAGCTGAAATCTACTCACACATAAACAGATACATTTTTATTGCCTCTCATGTCGTCCAGGTGGTTAAAGTCAACGCGTCAAACTCAACAACAGACTTGGGTAAGACAATACTGAACTTCTCTGTAGCTGTTTACATGATTGTAAACAGCTACCTAGTCACATGCTTTCAAATGTCTAAAAACATGATTAAGAATGAACTCTATAGGTCTAAATCACAGATTTTACTTTGCTTATTTTATAGATTCAACGTCACGAAGAGCAGGTTGGTGAAGGGTCAGCAAATAACACAGAAAAAGAGGAAGAAAACATCCATTATGGAGAGATCAGCTTCTCTAAGCTGGCATTTGAAGCATCCTCTGACTCAGTGCAGGACAGAGGACAGCAGCAGGATACGGTGTACGCACAGGTGAAAGTCAACAAGACAGAAAACAGCTTAACGCAGAGAGCTCATGGCCAAGAGGAACTCTACGCTGAGGTGAAGAAAAAATGAGAAGTATGCATTTACAAACTGTAAAGAATGAAATATGAATGTGGAGCCTTTACATGAAAATGTGTCATAGTCACTGCCAAACAATTCAGTGAAGTAAAAAAAAGCTTTTTTTATGTTCACCCTCCTGTAGTAATTTCATACGGCTGGTTTCAGATTTTGATCTCTTATGATATTAAATATGCGTAAATAGAAGTTGCAGCAGTTCAGCAGGGAACAGTGACTGGTACTTATATAAAGTGTTGGTCAAGTTACTTGAAAAAAGTAATTAGTAACTAATTACTGATTACTTCTCCAAAAAGTAACCCCATTATTTTACTGATTACTAATTTTCAAAAGTATTTAGTTGCTTAGTTACTTTTAAAAAAATTATACTCAACCTGAATAAAGCAACAGACCTTTCAGGCCAATTATGTTTTTTATGCATAATCTATCATATAAAATTGAATCAAATGGAAAGCCTCTTTTTAAAAATAGTTTTATGAGTTTTAATCTTTTAAAAAAATTTAATTATATGCAACTGTCTTTGACTTGAAGACATTTAAACCCATTTTCTGCATATTCTATGTCATGATCCTGGGCCATGTTGGCCCAGCATTCTTAGTTTCATGTATTTTTGTATTTTGTTCCTTATTTGATTTCCCCTTGTGACTTTTACCCCCTGTGTGCC